GAGGTACTTTATTATTGATCCTTTTTCCTTTAGAAACTTTCTTGCCATTGATAGTAAAGGTGAAAGCTGAACTGTATAGGTCATAAGAGTCCAATTTGTTCAAAGAAGATTGTAAACAATGGAGAAGGGAGTTGGGAAAGTTTTAAAGAAACTTTTTGAGTTGGTTTAAGGAAAGTAGTAAGACTCTATTAACATAGAAGTATTGAAACTTCTTGCAAATGTTTTTTTTGTGTGTAGTCAGATGATTAACGGAAAGAAAAATTATGAAATTCTGATAAGACTTTATAAATATACAAGCTATATAAAAAGATAAAGTAAAGATTTTGATAAGAAAAAATTCAATGAGTTGTAATAAAATAAATTATATTTGAATATTATATAGTTTCATAGACTATAATTAAAACAAAAAAAATAAATATTATAAAAAATAATTATATTATGCTTTTGATTACTTTATATAACAAAGATTTTTTTATAAAAAGTAAAGTTAACAAAATCCTTATATACAGTATAGATAAAAATAAATTGATATAAAAAAATATTTTTAATATAATAATAAATATTTTGAAAAAATCTAAATAAAAAGTTCAGAATAATATTAAAATTTATGTTTTAAAAAGAATCCAATAAAGAGAAGAAGGAAGTCTAAGAAAATAAACTTTGAAAATTTTTTTAAAAACTAATATGTAAAGTAACTTTCAACAAACTTGCAATTAGAAAATTAGCTCTATATAAAGAAAAATAATATAAATATAGTTTAAAGTTTATCAAATACAAAAGAATCTTGTAACTTAAAAAATTTTTTAATAAGATAGAGATATTAAAAAACATAGTCAAATTATAGATTTTTAGTTTAGCTATAGTAAAATATAAACTATTTACAAATTTATTTATCAGATCAAAAAATCTATATATTTAACATAACATTTTTAACATATCTTAGAGATTTGTAAAAATGAATATTCAAGATATAATAGAAGGTCTAAAGTTTATATATTAATAACTAGAAATAAAAAAAAACAAGAGATATTATTAAAACTATTTTAAAATAATAGTATAATTTTTTGAGAAGCAATTAAAGATAGATAATCAACTTTTAAATAAATCAAGTTAAAAACAAAATAGTACTTAATAGAGTTAAGACAAATAAGATAATATCAAATATATAATTATATAAAAAAGTAAAATTGAAAAAAAGTAAGAAAATATTATCAAGAAGTTTTTTTTTAAAAAAAAAGATTAATTATAATGTTTTATAAAAAGATTAAAAAAAATTATATAAATCTAAAAAATACATTAAGATGGTTTAATATAAAAAACTATTTGAATCAATTTTTCAAGAAAAATTAAATAAATATTCAATATATTTTCAAATAATAAAACTTTAGAAAAATTTCAAATTAATTATAAAATATTAAAAAAATTAAGTTAAGAAGAAAAAAAATATCTGAAAAGGATATTTAACAACTTTTTGAAATAAAAAGTTACTTCAATATACTAAAATAAAGTTTACTATATTTTATAGCTAAATTAATTGTAAAATTTTAAATATTAAATCTATAAATCTATTAAAGGTTATAAGAAAATATTTTATTAAAGTTTTTGTTAATAAAATAAAAAATATTTACAAAACTAATAATATATTTAAAGATCTTAACTATATAAAATATTAAGTAAAAGTATAGCAAAGATAATTTAGTTTCTTAATAATATTGATAAAATGTTAGAAAAAACAAAAAAAAATTATAAATACTTTTTTAGAATATAGTTAAAGTATATAATGCAATTAATCTAAAAAAATAATAAAAAGAATCAAAGTATTGGAGAACTTTATTAAAATTATAATAAACTTGTTTCAGGATAAAAAATTTTAGAACTTATTTTAAAATGATTTTATAAAATTAATAAAAGTAAAAGATAAAATCAATCAAGAAAAAATTATCTTACTTAAGTTATAGAGAATTTTCTATAATTTTCTACTCTGCAAAATTTATAATAATATATAAAAAGGATATAAAACATCTATTACTTGATATTTAATCTAAAAAAATATATTACTAAAAGACTAGAATTAAGATATATAGCTATGACCTTTATAGATAATATAATATAAATAATAAGATTTAAATAAAATATAAAAAGGATTTAAAAATTACAAGAATCTTTTATCAAAACAATAATTTTTAAATTAATAGTAACTAGTCAGTTTTGATAATTATCAATAATCTTAATTATTATTTAAAAAAATTTAAATAGGTATAAAAAAAGAAATAATCAAAAAGCTTGATAAAGTAAAACAAATCAAATTTTTGAAATTTGAATAGATAATTAAAAGATTATAATTGAATGTAAAGAATAGATACTCAAAAAAGTTAATATAGTAACTATAGTTTTTAAAAACAAAAAAACAATAGATAAATAAGTAATATTCATGATATAATTTAGAATATAATATAGTATATTGTTTTGAAAAATATATAATATTTTAATAGCAGTATATAGAAAATTTTTCAAGAGTAAAAATGATTTATATAAAATAACATAATTTATTATTCAAAGATCTATAATTTGAAAAATATTTGAATGCTGCAATCAGAAAATCAAATATCAGTACTTTGCAATAGACTAAATAATTATAAATTAGTAGAAATTATAACAATTGTTAAGCTTAAACAAACATAAATTAAAAACAAGAAACTATTTAATTTGTTGATCTTCAAATTATTGAATCATCTATTAGATAAAGATAATTTTATATTTCAAGTAATTAAATTATAAAAAGACATAAAAATAATCTTTTAAAACTAAAAATAACAAAATACTTTTGAATAAAATAAAGAAAACAATTTGATTTAAAAATACTTTATATCATAAAAATATAAAAAGATTATAAAATTACTTAAAAACAATAGATTAATAAATATAGATTAATTATTTGATTAGAAAGTCAAAAAAATAAATGATTGATAAATGTTTTAACTTTTACAAATATAAACAAAAATTTTATTTTAGAATAGTTTTAGATTATAATCAAAAATTTTTCAAAAGATCAATTATAATAGTTTATAAAATCTGGAAAAAAAATTATATGAAATGAAAATCAAAATATTTCATAGTAAAGTTTAATTGAAATAAATGATAAAAGTTATGGATCATGAAAAGAAACAATAAAATTTAAATTACTTAGGAAAAGTTAAAACAAGAAAAAAGAAATATAAAATTAATTTATTTGTTATAGTATTAATAATAACTAGAAAATAGTTTATAAAACTATTTTAAATATTCAGAAGAAATAATATAAAATAATAGTTATATTATAGAAGATAATATGAAGGAGCTATATATAATATTATATCTTAATATTAAAAAATTTATTAGAAGAATATGAGAAGTGACAATTTCAAATTCTAAGATAATATTAAAAAAAATAAATAAAAAATAATTTATCATAATTTAAGTTCTTAAAATTTCTTTTTTAATATAATAAAGTAAATTACATAGATATTAAACTTGGAAAGAGATTATTATTAGAAAAAATATTGAAAAAAAATATATTAAAATTATCTAATAAAAATATTTCAACATAATTTTGAATTCAAAAAAATATTAATCTTTATTTTAATGAATTACTTATTAATATAGAAAAAAAAATTGAAAATGCATACAATTTAAATTTTAAATAAAAAAAGTAGAAAGAGAAAACAAGTTTCAAACAGAAGTAAACAATTATCTCTTATTTATAAGGATTGAATTGATAGTAATTTTAATTATAGTTTTTATTGTTAGTATTATTGAAATTTGCATAAATAATCAGATTTGTATCTTTAAATAAAAGACAATAAAAAAAAGAGGCTTGAAGAGAATATACACGAAATTATCGAAAGAAAAAAAATTATTATTTTGAATATAAATAGTTGTGTTAATATAGAAAAGGAATATGAATCTGAGATTTATTAAAATTGAAATATATTTTAATAATCTTTATAATGAAGAAACAGATGTTTTAATCAAAGAAGTTTTAAAACTTTTATTAATAGAATAAAAAAATCTTACCTTGCATAAGATTATTATAAAAATAATGTAATAAAATATAACTTTAGATAATTTAATCAAATTGTTTGTTAAGAATATTAATAATAAAACAATAATCTATTAATAAACATAATAAAATAAAATAGAAAAAAAATAGAGTTATTAAATTTTAGAGCAACAAGTTCATATATAGAATTTAATATATAGTATAGGAAAATAAAGATAGATATATGAAATACATTTTTTAAATAATTTTGATAAAAAAGTTTTTTTATTAAACTAATCAATAATGAATTATTAACTTTAAATAAACTGGTTATACGATATTACATATAATCAATAAAATAAAAGAATAGAATATTTATTAGATTATTTAGTTTATAAAAATTAAGTATAAGAAATATAAAGAAAAGAAATAAATAAAATTTTAAAGATTTCAAAGAACTTTTATAAAAAAAAAAAAGAAATTGAAGAGAAAAATATTAGATTAATTATAAATAATTGTAAAGAATTGGGGAAACTTGATAAGTGAATTTTTAGACAAGTTAAATATAAAATAAAATAATTGAGTTTTGAGCCTTGTTAGAATCTTATAGAATGATCTGCAATGATAATTTGTAGACAATAAAGTTAGTAGTTGAAAAGTTTTTTATCTGAACATACAAAGCTATATATAGATAATTAAGATAATTTGCAAATACTGTATACACAGTGTAGATGGTTAGAGCATGTTATCACAATAGAGGTTTAAGTATACAGTGCTGCGTATTTTAACTTCAATTATTAAAATTGTTAAAAATCCATTTCACTTGATGTTTATATGTTAAGCATAACTTAAAAATTTTTATATCAAGTCATTAAAAAAAAGCGGTTGATTAGTCGACAACTTTTGAAAGAAAAAAAAAAAAAAAAAAAAAAAAAAAAAAAAAGAGTTGTGCGACATTGAGTGTGGATTGAACGCTTACGTGCTAGGAGGAATTGCCATTTTGGATTGTGATACTTGATGGCATACATTGAGCATCATTCAATCTCAGGCCAAGGAAGGAACGGCCCAAAAGTACTTACGTACGCAAATCGAAGGTAATTAATTTACGGAAGGTTTAAGAAAAAAAAAAACATGCATTCCGTGTAACAATTTGCACGCGATCTCTTAAATGTTACTTTATTTGAGTGTTCAATTAATTAATTAGTAATGGAACTCAAGTTGACGATCCATTCTTTATCTTGAGCATCTCGAAGATTTTCCTCTTCTCCTTTTTTCTTCGTCATCTGCATTAATTTAGGCACCCAATTGCGGATCCGGATGGAAGTCGAATTTTATTATTGAATGGTTTTTTTTCCGCATTTCCTTTACCGCGCTTTCACCACGATATATTATGGTCACACTGTTAACCGCATGTATCCATGCAATTTAACAGATATGCACTTTGATAATTTTCCACGTTGAAAAAGTAAGAAAGGCACAATAAACAAAATCACCCACGCTCACACATACGCACATCAACGAAAACTTTAATTATTCGGAATAACATCAATGGTAAACAAACATTTGGATGAAATACCAGAAGCGGTAATTGTACACTTCGATTGTGTGCGCATGTAATTAATGAAATGAACTATTGACAGACAGAAGCTGCTTGAAATGTGCAGAATCAATAAACCTGAGTCAAATTTAGCTCAAATTCATCGAATGGGAGATCAATCGATCACTCCTGAATTCTTTGGTATCAGGGATTACCGTAATCGGTATCGTTAATTCTTATCAGTACGGTACATAGGATTCGAGGTGGGATAACCATTCTTTATACGCACAGTGCGTACAGTATGTATACAGGATGAAGTGAAATCCACACAGAGTGCCCTCATTTGGATGACAGACACCTTCGCCACTCATTTGCCATTCGTATATACATTGAATTGATGATGATGGGTGACATTCACTCGGTGTGATATGCCAGTGATGTTTATGATTGTTGCGTGACCGAAAACGGTGAAGATCAAAAAAAAAAAAAAAAAAAAAAAAAAAAAGGAGCATTATATTTCACGTTACGTGGTGTTCTAGTTTACTTCAAGTTGTGTATATCATAAGACAGGCTGCTCATTCACATATCATGCTAGCCACCGAATCCAGGCTGTCGTCATCATCAACTGACGCCGGTGAGAGTGTCGACAAATATGGAAATTATTACTGAAGTGGTAATTCGTGTTTAATGCCAATTATGGAAAATGTCCATCAGTTTAATGCATAAGGACACGAGGCAACCGGGTAATGTGATTGTTATGACGAGAATTGTGTTAATTCAAATGAAATTCAATTCATTCAACCAGTCGTTTATTCTTATTTTCGCGTTTTCTTTTTATCATCATCTCACACGTAAAGGGATACAGGTGATAAAATTTTTGTTGTTGTCATTTTAAACCACGGTGATAAGTGTGGTTGATCGGTTGCTTGTTTGACGGGTGTTGTTTGTTTCCAGTGTGAATTTTGCAGACGACTCCTGCGCAAAGGAAGATTCCCGGAGGAAGAATGTAGAGTAAACGTAACGAGATGTGCGAACGATCGTAATAAATATAAACGAATAATTTTATTTACAGTATTATGATATAAAGTGCGTGTCAACACACACACACAACACACACACACACACACACACAACGCACACACACACACACATTCTTCATTCTTGTGCAAATGGAACATAGTGTCAATTCGTGAAAAACATTCGATCTCGTTCCCGCGATGCTCGTGGTATTTATCATCGTGAAAGTTACCGAATGCACACGCCGATTGATTGCCCGAGTCGGGATTTACAAACGCGTAAATTTCGATGTTCACCATTACCACATTTTGTCCTGTGCCCGATGAACGCGTCAATCCAACACTACCCCGGGTGTGGGGTAGACGCACGTTGTTAATGAGAAATGCCATTAAAGGTGGTTTAATTAATTATTTGAATGCCTTTTTTAATTCTTTGTAAACGTGCGTGCGTGTTTTTTAATTTTAGGATTTTAATTAAACCACGTTTTTGTTCACCTTCGCGGGGGAGAACCGGAACCTGATTTGAATGTCTGTTTTTCGAACACATGTCACCAGTGTCGCTCTTGTGAACCCTCTCTGGTGGCCAACAAACAATCCCTGAAACACCAACAGAAATTTTCTAAAAAAAACCCGTTGTTATGTGAACCCTTAATCATCGATCATTTACATGATCACTTAATGCCAATCTTACCTTAACACAATTATTCATTAGTCATACTCTTACCCTCTCCATCCGTCTCTTTCCTCGTCCTCAAAGATCGACGTTCCTCGATGTTTCCTTTCATGATGTCAGTTTGTTTGTCCCGTTACGTAAGAGATACATCATGCCAAAAATTCACGCCATAATAAAATTTTCGCAATTAAAAAGTCGTTTATTCATCATTCGAATGAAACCTTTCACAGCATTCTTGATACGTCTCTCCTCTTCCATATTCGTCCAGGTGCACCGTGAGACCGCCCGTAGGTGGTTCCACACGCGCGCGCATCGAGGATAATGGAGAGAACCCTCCCTAAAGTACGTGTACGTGTTTGCATTAGTTGTCACCTCCTGGATTAAATCTGTCAGAAGACCGAATACCTTTACGCCCCATTTCCACTTTTACACAATCATTGTATCTCCCTGTGGACATTTCACCAAACTCTTCAGCGCGTACGCACATATTTTTTTTTAGCCCTAGCACACATCTCGAACCATTGTGTTATCTTCGTTATCGGTTAATATTGTGCGGACCTATCCGGAGATCTCCTTAATATAGGTAGGGTAGATTCATTTTCCATGTCGATAATTGTAGCGGTGTCGCACCCAATCTCAAAATCAATGGTCGACCATCAAAATTCTATAATGAAATATTCTCCAACACCTAACGCTTAACCACCAGACCTGCCAAATTTCACCCAATACGTACCTTTGTACGTCGTCCAAGAACAATAGCAAATTTCATACCACATTTTCCAACGATCAAATTCGGAAAACGCCTAATTATAAATTGCTTACTGTACGCACGCACGCACAATAGTGAATACCCGTTTACCATTTATTTATTGACGAGTTTTCTGTTATACATTTTTGTTAGTAAAGTAACACACACATATATTTTACGCACACTTCTGGAATTAGAATACTGATAAGCAAACTTCGCGTAGTGATATTAATTAAAAGAGTTTTTTTTTTTTTTTGCGCAAAATGATAAGTAAAATAAGGTTAACCCAACTTCTATATCACCGACCGCAGTGACATAATCAAGTTTTCGTCATCGGAGATAAAAATCCCGATTGGTCGAGGGCTAATTTATGGGTTAATAAGCATTTATTGAAGCGCAGTTGCACAGCAGAACTTATTCTTATTCTCACGTTATGCATACGTGAAAGTATGTATGTGCGTACGTTCTGTCGTCCTGCTTACCAGGTTAATCTTAGTCGGTCACCTAATCATTGTTCTCAAACCGTCACAATGGAGTCGACGAGTCGAGTCTTTCCATTGTCACCGACCGATTTCTAAAAAAAAAAAAAAAAAAAAAAAAAAATCGCATTTCCTCGCCTTTGAAAAAAAGTGACTCCTCCGTGAGTGATGGTGACAGGTGGGTGGTTCGGAGTGTGGCGAAAGATGCGAGCTAGCCACAACCGATCCAATGTTACGCAATTTTGAGGAGGAGGATGAGGAGAAGGTTTTGTGACATCATGCACAAGACGCCCACATAAATTGATCCCTAGTAGAACGGTATCAATCCAAATCTGTAGATGACGAGATGTGAGATACTGTAAGAGTTTTACGGGCTGCATTTCAAATAACTGTATCACTGCCTTAAACGGTAAATACCAACAAGGTGTTTCTCTGAAGGTATTATATTTTTTTTTTTCCCAACGGTACATGATATTGACTGACATACAGATAACTTTTTTCGCCCAACTATTTATAGTGTCAACATCTGGCAATCACGTAAAATTTTTTTATTTATATTTGAATTTCCTGTATTCCAACACGCAAAAGCAACTTTTTTTTTTTTATTATCATTATTATTATTAATTATCATCATCATAATCGTATCATTATCATTTGTAATGAGGGAGGAGGGACTTACGGAAAAAACGGGGTCGCCGTCTTGAAGGTGGGGAATGTCTTATTGCCAAATTTGGTTCGTCCGGACCAAAGGGTTTGTGCACGTAAGAAAAAAAAATCGTGAAAATTAAACTGATGCGGAAAACATTGTTGTCTGAAAAACAAACTGATCGCAAACAACGCCCAAAGGATAATCCTATGGGAATTTGGGTAACACTCCACGCTCTTCGGTGACTTTTATGTTTATCCTGTATTTACATGAATTATTGGAAAACATCTTTTCATCTACCGTCCAAACACCAATAGAACTATTCTCTCGCATCTTCCTTCCCACACACGCCTACCTTTACTCTATCATCTCAGAATATTGGATCAAATATGGCATTCCAACCACCAACCTATCAATTCCATTATAAACCCTCATCGTCTTGGCCACTTTGATTTTTTTTTTTTTCTCTTCTTTGTCTTGTTTTTCTTTTTTTTTTTTTTTTTTTCTTTCTTCCCTTTTCTGTTCCCCTCTTATTATATATATATATATATTATAAAAAAATAAAAAACATAAAATAAAAAAAAAAAAAAAAAATAACAAGCGCATCATTATTATTTTTTAAGAATTTATTATTATATTAATTCGCTCCTCACACACGTTCTCCTCCATAGTCGTGTGCGTTGGGCGATTTCCCGGTTAGATTTTTTCCTCTTTGTTATATACAGTATCTTTATTTTATTTTACTTTATTTTTTTTTTCTAGCTTCCTTCCTGTAGTGTACCATATACAGTATATTTTGTAGCCTGTACCATTAGCAGTAGAGAAAATTCATTTTTCCCGTCGACACAAAGGAGACCACCGCATTTTACGCGAAGGAACCCCAAAACGCGTAATCGTCGTCATTGTCAATTATTTAGTATTATTATTCTTTCTATTCTATTGTATTTTTATCGTTACCCCGCATTCTTTCCAAACTCTTCATCAATCCACAAGCACATATAATCGATTTCGACTCTTGATGTAAGTACACTCACATATCGGGTAATTAGTGGGCAATGTGTGTGATCCCCCAAAATTGTTGATTTTTTTTTTTTTTTTTTTTTTTTTTCCTGAGTATCACCCCCCTTCCCTTACTCTTCTCCCAAAAGAAGTAAAAAATAGATATATATTTTATATATATATGTTTATATACATATACATATAAAAAAATAGAGACGTGCATAAAAGAAAAATTTCATTTGGTTCCTCCGTGGTTTTTTTTTTTTTTTTCCTGAGCCCGGCCATTTTCAGTTTATATTTTCCCACACTGGATTTTTGTATAAAAGAAACTAAAAGACGCGAACTTTTTACCACTTTTTTCCTTACGCTCCCTCTTTGCGCGCGTCTTTCTGCTCCCTCTTTGAAATTTCATGTGCCACTTGAAATTAATCGCAGCCACCTTCGCATACTTTTCTCATCCGAAAAGAAACCATCATTATTATCTTAACGTTTTTTCTTCCCGTCCAAAAGACATTCTGCTCAAGTTTTGAACTAATGACCGTTGGCAATTAGACAGCCTCGCACATAAAAAAAAAAAAAAAAATAGATATTGTAAATAATAGAGTATATATATATATATACACACACACATATATATATATATACAGATATATAGTTCGGTGCACAAAATATCTCTATCCGAAAAACAAACCTCCCTTCCTTTTACGTCCTTCGTCTTCGATTTTTTTTTTTTTCCTTTGACGGATCAAAAAACCTTTCCTTCCTTCCTTCCTTCTTTTCTTTCTTTTTTTTTTTTTCGTGTCCCGATAGAGAATTTTACTTATCACAATATCCCTTTGTATTTTCATGACCATGCAAGACCCTCGAGCGGAATCTTATATGGAACGTCACGATTTAAAAAACTTGCTCAACGAACTCGAAGGTGGACTGCGGCGTCACCAACCGAACGATCCCCTGGACTATATTGTTGGTTGCGTGAGATCTGTTCAGCAAGTAAAGAGGGAGTCGAAGGAGCCGCCTTTTTACTCGGTAACCGCCTGTTTCTTTTTGTCTGTGCCCGAGCACAGTGTCACTGTTTCATGCGCTACCCTGCTCCCCCACCCTCCGACATATTTCAAGTCACATAATGCGTCCTCGTGATCATTACTAACCTGTGTGCACTCACTCACTCACCTATCTTCTTTATGCTTGCGCTGCGCAACGCGTGCCCCGACACGTACACGCCATCCATCTTCATCCATCATCAACCATCAAAACAAACAACGATCCGCATCACAACAGAGACTCTTTGAAGACTACAACGCTCAAACTTTCAACTCGATTGGTGTTGTAAACGCTCAGCATAACGAATTTGCCTCGCCCGATCATCCTAGTATGTGAATTTGTTTTACCCCGTCATCACGTTTACCACTGATTCTCATCCTCAACGCCGAAAATTTTCTCGATCATTTAGCCGGACCTAGCAATAAAAAGCGCCAACGTTCTGAGGACACATTGTAGGTTTCCATTTTCGCGTGCACCTATCCTCTTTCTCTTCCCCTCCCCTCCCCTCAATCATTAACATCGATTCGCGTTCACCAGCATGGAGGTCCGAACTCCCCCCTACTACACTTCCGGTTCGAACTTTGATCAGCACGTTCCTCATCAGCATTTTGAAGAAGATCAAGGTCAGCGTCGCCCTATTCTGCCCCCCTCACCGCCAAATACTTTGTCAACTCGATTCTTTCGCAATCACACCGCTTCCGTGGGAAGGCGCCGCCGCAATTCCGTGAGCGCCGAGTCCATCAGACCGTCAGACGATCCTAATGATCGAAAGATCATTCCAAAATCTGACGAAGTCAGGAGACGCATCGAGGATGCGATCCTTCAAAACCTGTTATTCAAAAACCTTGATCGTGAAACCAAACGGCAAGTGGTAGGGGTTGGCGTTATGCTTGTTTGCTTTGCTCGCTCGCTTATTCGTCATCCTCGCATTACACGTGACGTGAGCTCATTATGGTTAATCTATTGACCGCAATTAGGTGGATGCAATGTCCGAGGTCATGGTGCGGAAGAACGATGTCATCATCACGCAAGGCGATGTGGGCGACAACTTCTATGTCATCGAACACGGTCTTTTTGGAATATATATTGACAACCAGTTTGTTCTCGAGATTGGTAACGGCAATAGTTTCGGGGAACTCGCTCTGATGTATAACGTGAGTCATCTGACGAATCGGTTGGTTGCACCTTAATTATTATTTTTTTTTTACTCCGACATCCGTTTCTCACGTGACCCAACGATTAGACTAATCGCGCTGCCACCGTGAAAGCGAAGACCGACGGAATTCTCTGGGCGCTTGACAGAGTTAGTTTTCACAAGACGATCACCAACATCATGTATAATAAACGAAAGACTTACGAAGTCTTCTTGAGGTCCGTTTCATTCCTCACCTCGTTAAGTCCGTCGGAGATCACGAAACTCGCCGACGCCCTAGAACCTGATGAATACGAGGATGGTAAGGCAATTGTTACTCAAGGTGAAGCTGGTGATTACTTTTACATCATCGAAAAAGGGCGCGTGAGCGTAAGTAAAATTAGTGAACATGGGGTCAAACAATGCTTACCGGAAATCTGCGAGGGTGGTTATTTTGGAGGTAGGTGGAAGGGGGGGATCTTTTTTTTTTTTTTTTTCACTATCGGGGTGCTAATTTCTCCTTCGGGACTCAACGTTCGCCTCCTCGTTCTTCCCCAGAGCTCGCCCTTCTCGAGGATCAACCGCGTAGGGCAACCGTCGTTGCACAGGGTCACGTTCGCGTTGCTGCACTCAAACGCGACGCATTTGTCCGACTCTTGGGCCCTGTCATGGACATTCTGAACAGAAATGCCCAAGCATATAATATGAATGCCGAGAATAATAACTACCCCACCCGTCACGATTCTTCATATTCGCCCGTACCTGAACGTCCTTCAGGATCACTTAACGATGTTAGCGTACCGAATCAAAGTGGTGGCAACGAAAGTATGGCCATTGACGAAGATTATCATTCGACAACCTCAACCGAATCATCACGTACAAAAATCAAGAGAAGCGGATATAGTGGGGCTGGTGGTGTCGACGTATTATGATCACAACCACAATGAATACTCACTTGTCCATTCTTGGGGTGTGTGGATTCTTTAGTTTGGAAATTTTGCGGGGTTACGACTTCTCTCTCTATGCCTAAAAAAAAAAAAAAAAAGAGATTCCAAGTTATTTACTCTCCTATGTTTTAAATAAGCTTTTTCCTCCCTAAGATTTTCTCTATGCAGCAATTCTCTTACTATCTTTACTATTATTTTTATGATTAACATTATCATTATCCGGATATCCCCTTTTCCGATCCACATATACCCGACGCTTTTCTTTTTCTTATGTTTGGCAGAAATTCTGGTCAACTTTCAACACCACTCATTATTATCCTTGCACAACCAATTTTTTTTTTTTTTTCTTTATTTCTTACGCCCACAAATACACTAAACAGCCGGAGCTCTTTTAAATATATATATATATATATGCATAATTTTTTTATCCCCGACGAACGACGTCGCATCTTCACGCCCCCATCGGGGGGCGCTTTCGTGTATAGATAGACATATTTTTTTTTTTTTTGGTTGCTTCGTCGGGGAATTTCGTAACTCTTAATCGTTTCACTTAATTGTATGATTTTTTTTTTTTTTTTTTTTTTTTTTTTTTTTTTTAAAAAAGAAGTTTTGGTTTTTGAAATAAAGGTCAAAATATGCATTTATAAGGTAATTGGACGTTACGGTACGTCAAAAAAAAAAAAAAGAAAAAAAGAGATTTACCTTTGTTATTATAGCTTATGTGCTACCAGCTTATAATCTATTTGTGGGGTGGTGTGGGAATGCAGAGAGAATAGTGCAAGATCGAGACCAAAAACCTCTTGGGATGTGCAAATATCGATAACGAGGGTGGATGATCTTTGCCAAGGTCCCTATGCGCGAACGAGGAATGAATTGGAAAAGGATTGCAGCACGACATTTTCGAACGTAAGTTATTAATATTATTGTTATTAAGATTGTTGGTTCTTACATTACTGTTGCTGTCGATCGAGGGATGGAGTGAGGATGGATCGTCAAAGGGAACAGCCGTAAGTAGTAGTCAGGGGGTTTTTTCATGTCATTATGTTCTCGTTTCTGGTCGCGTAACGAATTGGTTGATTAATATACATCAGCGATCTTCGAACCTGTTTTTTTGTTTTTTTTTTTTTTTTTTTTTTTTCTACTCCTGCGATTTCATGTAAACTTATTCAAAAGGAAAAGTGCGTCCGACGCAGCGTGACGCGCGAAAGCGAGGTGACATGGTCTCGATTAATCAACGAGCATTCGATCATCCTGTAACCTGAACGGAGCACAAATGGGGTGGCAACAAAAGATAGGTATGGGAGAACCAATAGAATGATTATATGAACATCAAAGAAACGTGTCAATTTCAAAAATGTGACGAAAAATTTCAAACTGAATTTTTATTACAGGTAACTCCGTGATCTTTGAAACAAGTCACTTGATTTGCCGAAACATTTCTCACAAGGATCGAAAGAAGGAAAAAAAAAAATTTTTTTTTTTTTATCTGGACTGGGCATTTATATATCACTTCTAATTTTTTTTGGTGGCGCGGTGTGTAGCTTTACTAATCACACTACAAAGAAAAAATTTTATTTCGCAGTGAGACGTGTTCATCAACGGTACGCTCGTTATTTACGTATCCTAAATAAATTGCACCTGAATAATCATCCGCATTTATATATTCTTTTCACGATGTTTGCTCGTGAGACAGGCTTATACATATTTACGACTGACATCATAATGACCCGGATATGTGGCATCAAAGAACGACGCTCGTTTGCTCATTGATTTGATGGAAAGGAAAAAAAAAAAAAGAAAAAAAAAAACTTTATTGAAGATGATGCAGCTGTACGTAAAACTGATCTACAATTTTTTGTTGCCAAAATACAGATTTTTCTTAAAAGGGTAATAATTGGTGTGGTCGATATCCTTTTTATTCGACCTACGCTTTTTTTTTTTTTCTTTTTTTTAACAAGCTAATCATTTTGTTCTAAGATAATGTGTGTGTAATGCGTAGTGCGTGTGTGAGTTGAAAAACTAGTAAGATTGTGCATCATCGTCACTTTGAACAATGATTTTTTTTTTTTTTTTTTTTTTTTTTTTTTTTTTTTTTTTTTAAAGATTAAAAAAATATAATACTTTTTTTTTTTTATAATTTCCCTTTTCTTTTTTTATTGTTCTGCTAGTTTTCCTTGTGAATTAATTTTTTTTTTT